GAGAGAGAGAGAGAGAGAGAGAGAGAGAGAGAGAGAGAGAAAGAGAGAGAGGGAGAGAGAACGAAGGACTCGGAATGCGAAACGGGTGAGAAAATTAGGTTCTCGTGCCGAGGAGTACTGGAGGATCGATGAGCGACGCGATCATCCGATCAGGCGGAAAGGGTAGGTTTGTTCGGGATTCTCGATCGCGGGATGTTACGTCGTGAAGCGGGACGCCTCCGTTCACGTTCTCTCGCTCCTTCTCTCTCCTCTCTTGCTCGACACCTGTCGATCGAAGGATTAAAGAGGATGCCCCCGTAGAGACAGTCCGGGATTTAAAGCGCGCGCGTTCTCCGCGAAACGTTTACCGAGCGGCAGTGAAGGAGAAGAAAGAGGAGGAGGAGGAGGAGAGAAAGGAGAGCGTGAACGGAGGCAACGAATTTACCGAGCTCAGGTTTTCGGTGAGGATACTCCCCCTGTTTACACGACAAACGTAGGAAGTAATTCATCGTGGCTCGTCGCGACTAAATCCATTCCTGATTCACCACCTCTATCCTTCGCCGTGCACAGGAATATTACTCGTGCCCGGTGGGTAAGTACCCTCGTTACTGGCTGCCGGAGGGTTCGTTACCTCCTAGGAACCCCCGTGAGAGCTTTGTCTTCGGAGACACGCGGAGTACGCGGATGCTCGAAATTCCCATCGGGTATAGCGCCATTGTCAAGATTGCGAATATAGTGCGCTCGAGACGCGAAAGGCAACTGATTCCCGCGCGATCGACGTAATTGCATAAGAGGACGCAAACTGGATGGTCGGCGAGTAACGATCGTCTAACGAACTAGTCATTGTAAATTCTTTGAGCTATTTATAAGAGTTAACAAAGCAATTAATAAGACTGTCGTTATTTAGACTTAAATATTAACAACTATATAGGATATCATTCTCCATAGTGTCTTCCATAATTATTCATATAAATCACACGAAGAGGAGATGATTGGATCCGAATTTTCAGATCTATTGCTAGATAATTGATACTGTCAGAGAAGATGGACTAACCTTCGGCAGAATTCCTCGTGGCAACGATTGAGCGAAGAAAGGTGGACTCACCATAGTGTCTTTGATATGATCAACTGGTTGCAGCAGGACCGCCGTGGTACCGAGTGTCCTGTGATGCTGCTGCTGCTGTTGCTGCTGCTGATGTTGCTGCTGATGGTGGTGTTGATGATGATGGGGGTTGCAGTTAGCAACGATGTTGCAAGAGCAAGTGCAGGCGAGGTTGCAGGCCTGCTGAGCACCAAAGAGATGTCCTACCAGCCCCGGGGTGATCGCTGCTGCCGCCGGGTTGTTAATGCCGTTTAGCAGGGGCGGGGGCAGGGGCACCGCACCACCCGGGACGAACGGGTACGAATGAAAATACGTGGTGATGGGGGAACGTGTCTCGTCAGCGCCGATGATCGTCTCCGCGAGCCAGGATTTGCTCGATGGATGTAGAAAGAGATTGCGATTCGCAGCGGCCGCAAACGACTGCTGCAGGCCCCAGAGGGTCCGTGCGCGTTCCTGTGCGTTCCAGCAGGCACGTTCCAGCGACGCGGCCTGGCAGCGAGCGGTTTCCGTTTTGCACGAGCGATTCCACTCGTACGAGGGCCACCACAGCTTGAACGAGTACCCTCCCTTGTTCTCTCCCCGCCGGTCCCCGTTCAGGGACGCTCGTTTTCCTCGTGTCTCTCTTATTTTTGCTTCCTCGTCGTCCTCCCCTTGGGATAGGACGTACGATCGGCCGTATTGTTTTCCTCTCCTTTCGTTCAATGGCTGACTGACGCCCGTTCTGACTTCTCGTTACGGCGAGTCCTACGCCGTTCTCGATAGAACAGCGATGTAGAAAGAGAGAGAAAGAGAGCACACTCAGCTGACGATCGAATCGCGCGGGATACGGATAGTCGTCCGGACGGGAAAAACGCGCGATGTTATATATAGTTAGTCTCTTTGACTCGCGAAGGATCGCGAAGGGCTCTGATAACGTACGTACGTGAGTACACGAACAGTCTCTGAATTCTACTTACGAGCTATACACATACACACGCACGCAAGACGTACACACGCGCTACTCTTACGGTTACATCGATACAACAACGACGTGTGGTCTAAGGGTTATATCTACATATGCAATCGAGACAGCCGAATGGGGATATCTAAATGATACGTGCGAGGAGATTTGTCCTAGGAGGAACGGCGAACGCGAACGTGTCGTCGGGAGTGAGCTTTCGAATGATTGTCAGTGTGTGTGAGCGAGCGAAGGGGAGGCGACAGTTACAACCACGAAGAGGGAAATCCGCTAAGAGGGCGGATGGTGACGGGTGATAGACAAGAAAGAGAGGGGAGATTTACGCGTGCGGATTAAATATGTACTTAGTGTGCGGAAGAGGCGCGAGAGAGACGGAGATAATCTCGTCTCTCGCTTCGCACGATTCTCTTGCTCGTACGTGTAATTGAAACGACGTAGGTACGTGAAATATATTTTCTTCTTTTTTTAATCCTTCTCTACGCTCACTTCTTCTCGTTTATTCCTTCCTAATAATTCAACGAGCAATTATTCTATCGAAAAAAGGTGATACACCTCGGAGTTACACACTAAGAAAGCTAGCTGAAAATGATTGTCACGAAGATTGACAGAGAGTAGATCTATTGCCGAACCAGAGAAAGAGATCCTTAGGTTTCTTTTTTTATCCTCTAATATGTCTTAATTTCCTATCACTTTACGGTCCGCTCTCCTCGCTATTATTCTGCCGTGTTTCGAATCACGTGTCAGCGATACTCGCGCGTACCGATCGGATATGTTTCATACACGTACAAACGTAAGTGTAAATATATATATATATGTTTGTATATATATCGATTGTATATATATATATATAATATAGATATTAATGTAGAGCGTGTAGAATCACACGTAGAATCGGTACAGAGGCTGAAGATCACATAAAGACACGAAAGTCGATCGCTCGACCTCTTATTTCGCAATAGACACGTACATTACTGCCCTGGCCGAAAAAGAAGTCGCAAACGCTTCCCCTCTCTTTCCTTCGATATGTCCCAACCCACTACAATTACAATTGATTGTCTTGACGCGATTCTTTTTGTTCCTCGACGGTCACCTGACGACGCAGAGATGTCGCGATTATTTCTTAATTTTTTTTTCTCTACTTTACTCCTATCTTTAGCCTAAAAACTTAGCGACGAGACTTGTTTTTACACACGCACACACATTACACGTTTTACACATCTAACAACCGTAACTCTCCCTTTTATTATTATTACTTGATTTCTCTTAAGTCTCGCGGGACCTCGACGATTTAACGTCCGAACGACTATCATTTAGTGACTTAATTAATGATACTTTTAATCTTGCGAGAGTGAGAAACACGTCTTTTTCCGCTATTTTCTTCTCTCTCTCTCTTTTTCTCGATCGCTCTTACTCGAGATGATCGGCGAAAGAACTGCTGAAACGGGACAGCCGCGTGGTCGGATTCGCGTCTTTTTGCAGAGATATGTATTCGTCTATTCGTGCTGACTGCTCGGCTACTCGGAGGGGCTTCTCCTGCCGAATGTCCGGTCTCTCGTAACTTTTCGCAGCAATCTTTCATTCAGCTTGACATATTCTTTCCAGCAACAATCAAACGATGATCAGAGGGGAGGTAGGAGAGCCATCGATAATTCCTTGCCCAGTTTGTTCCCGGTTGACGTGTGTGTGTCACGAGAACGTGTGTCAACGAACAACGATGACAACAACGATGACGACCTTGAATCGTTTGCAGTTCAGTCCAGCAAGCTGTCGCTCCACGACACCGGTGGCTCGCGCTCGGCACACACAGACATACACACACACACGGACTCAAAGAGGGGAGACAATGGGGCGCGCAGTCAGAGGGCTGCTTTATGCATGCGTACTCGGCGTACAGAAAGAGAGAGAGCGGGAGAGAGCGAGCGAGGAGGTATAGCGTTAAACGTGCTTGGGGGAGTCCCTTCACGGCAGCTGATCACGTGGACTTGTTCTGACGTGGTCCTTCCTTTGCTTCTTCTCTTCTTCGCCTTGTGTTTGCCAAGATGTTCGCAAAGACGGCGAGCAACTGCGGCGACGACGACGACGACGTGGACGAGGGTGGCTCGAATGGTGCTCGTTCGCGCGCGTATTCCGCGAATTGAAGCGTGGGAAGACAAAAAGAAAACGGAAAAGAATCGAAAGAGTTACTCGCGCGACGAAGAGAAGGAAGCGGACCACGGAAAACTGAATGTTAGGCGCCGTTGCGCGTGTGTGTTTGTCTGTGTGTGCGTCTGTGTAGGAGCGCTTATGCCGTGGACCTCGCGCTTGTGTATGGATACGTGCGTACCGTGACGGACGTGTGTCGGTCGGTGGTGAAGGAGTCTAGCGTAGAAGGAGACAGACGTGGCAGAGGCGGGGGAAGAGAAAAAGGAAGGGAAAAAGAGGAAGAGAGAATGTGTGTGAGTGTATGTGTGTTGTGTGTGTGTGTGTGTTCGTGAAAGAGAGAGAGTAACTCGGAGGCGGAACGATTAAAGTGCGTCCTACTCGATCGCCTAGCTTGACACAACTGAGGAGCGTCTCTCGCGCGGCGCCGCGTAAGCTTCCGCCACCGTCGCCGCCAACACCGTCGCCGCCACCGTCGCTACCACCGCTGCTACAGCCGTCGAGTCGGATTACAGCGTATACGCGCCTTTCAAACATGCCTTTCTCGGCCCCCACCAAGTGAACGGCGGCGCGTAACCAATGAGGTACCAGAGCACGCCGAGAGGACGCGAGCCTGTACGAAATCCATCGAGTCTGCGCGCCGGTGGCAGAGTTACTCTCTCCAATTCTCTCCCTCTCGATTCTACCCTCTGCCTTTCATCCCTGTCGCCTCATCCGCGCACGCCTTCACCTTTCTCCCTCACCGGTGCAGGTGCCCCGACACGCTGCCCTCCTCCGCAACGACCCCACGCGCGCGGACGCGTCCATCTGAGAGGCGCCACCGCGATCCCAAAACCGCTCTCTTAAGCTTCCACCCCCGCCGTCATGAAACAGACCCTGTGCGCGTGAAAGAGCTTGTATTTATTATGCGCTTGAACGGATCCTAGATCTTCCCCGCGAGTGAGCCAAGATTCTACTCGGTTCCTCTGAAAGACCACCTGCCTGTATGTTAGGAAGATTTAAGAAGATGTACTATCTGAACGATTTCAGATATATTACATTTAGAGAATTTCAATCTCGATTGTTATCAATCTTCGAAGAAAAATGTCGATTTTATTGATCAAGGCAAATAACACATTATGAAGAAAATACGTTAAAAATTTAGAATTTTATAATCAGAATCTTTTACACCGACAAGTGACGTTATTAAAGATTTGATAATTTTTTCCAATTATTATATCAATAATCTTGGTAAAAAATGTATGCATTTTTTGAGCAATTACTGGATAATTATATCAACTTATGTCTAGTATCTGAGAAGTAAAACTACTTAGAATCCCATGATGTAACGTTTTGCTTACCAGTTACTGCGCACAAAAGATGTGCAAAATCTGAACGTATTTACTAAAAAAAAAAAAACAGGAAAATAAGTATACTGAGTATGCAGTATTTTGACTAACAATAATCTACTAATACTAGACAATAACTGGACAGGCGTCTACGCAATTGCACATATTTTTATCAGGAATATTGCTTTGGTCACTAAATGAAAATGTATCAAGTTGTTTCCTATTTTTTACGCAGTAATATTACAACTAATAACGAAAATACAGAAATACTAGACTGAATGAGTGTCTAGAAAAATCCATATATTTTTGCCAGAGAATTTCATAAAGGAAACATAAATGGATCCAAATTGATCAACTGAATAAATCTTCATGAAACTTTTACTACGTTCTGAATCATAAAATCGTACAAATAAAAAGATTTTATATAGAAATGATCAATATGGTAACTTGCGAAATAGAGCTATTTTTTTATCATTTTGAATCAATTTTAGTATATCTACTCCTTTTTATATGTCACGATTAATCTTCCAGAGTTGACATTGAATCTAATAGCCACTTAATTATATTTGTGGCGATTGCATCGCGTTTTGCTTCGGCTGCACAAAAGTATTAGGAATAATTCCACTTAATAAATATTCGTGAAAATCTCATACACATAAGAATACGTATGATTAACATATATAGGCTGCATGAGAAAGCAAGTGATTTAAGCCGTAGCTCAGAAAATTTAAAGCCTCCTCGAACACAATCAAAGGATATGACAGGCTGTACAGTAGAAATCACGCGACGATCGCGCAACAATAATCTAGGATTCGACTATTGACCCTTGTCGCGTATATGA